TATTATTTGATATCCATTTCTTGCTTCAATTCTGTCAATGCTATTTAAAATATATTTGAAAACCTTGATGTGAGATAAAGATAGATATCATATATATGTATTATTTTCATAAGCCCTCAGTCAATGACCACTTTTTATATTTAATGCCTTTGTTTGTCTCTTGTGACAGTTTTGACTTAAAGTATATTTTAAAAATTATAACATTTTTCACTTCAAAATGATGTGGCTAATATAATTTTTAAATCCACTGCTCTTAGACACTAAATGTTTTCCTGATATATCTTGCTATATCCTGCCAGTTTTAGTCTATTGTTCTCACCAAGTATGAAGTCAAGTCGCTTTAGATAGAATATAGTTGGATTTTTTAAATCCTTTTATTTAACTGTGTCTTCTGACTGGAAAAACTAGTATATAAATATTTACATAATTTTCTCAAAGGAAGGATTTACAACTTATATAATGTTAATTGTTTTATATGACTTTTGTCATTATCTTTTCTTTCTTTCCTCTCCTTCTGTCCTGCATTGTACCTCACTGATTTTTAGTGACATATTTTGTTTCTTTGCCTAGCTTTCTTTTTCATCTCTGTAAATATTTTTTCTGATGTTCTCTATGAGAACTACGTAAAATCTTTTGAACTTGCAACTTATGTTAAATGGATAACTACTTCTGTTGCATACAAAAATTCTTAATTTTTACATCTGCCCTCACCTTTGTGATGTTTATGTTAATAATTATGTCTTTTTATAATATATACAAATTAACACATGGAAATGATCATTTTTTAATTTTGCCTTTCAAATTTTATAGCATAATTAAATATTTTGCACCATCATTATGATAATGCAGAATTTTATTCTTGATATGGGCATATTTTTCCCAGAGAGTTATATAGTTGTCCTGAGAGATAGAAACCAGCCTTTGGAAAGGCTATAAAAAACCAGATGTGTGGACATGTGCCCATAGTTTCATTCTCTTTTGATAGGAAGTCCAGGACATAGGATTTTTCTACTAAAGTGATAACTCAGTATCAGCATGAAGGAAGGGCTATGGTGGGTAAATGCAACAAAGTTTCAATCCCCTTCCATGTGGTTCTTGGTGTTATTCTAATTTGGGTTGCTATGAACAATTAGCAGTTATAATTTCTAAAAGAATCATGGTTGTAAGTATAATTTAAGGTCATACATTTATGATGGAAGTAATACTGTGGTATTCCAGTGTGCTTTATTGCTAATATGCTTTCTATACTTTTGTATATTCAGATTTTGAAGTATATTCACCTGAGTCTAGTTATTGAGATACTTTGTTATTTTCATTTCTTTCAGAACTGTCTTCCCATTGCACCAAAGAACTGTTGCCAAAGCAGGGCATAAGAGACCCATTTCAGAAA